ACCTCCTTAATAACAATCATTTAAAGGAACAAATTTTTTTTAAAAATATAGAGGTATAAATATTTATAATATTTTCTTGTCTTGTGAAAAACCATTCTATTAAATATTTTGACACAAACAATATAACAGTAAAGTCTGCACATCTATTTCATTTTGTTACGTCCTCTCAGTGATTATTTAACAGCTATTAGAACACGAATACGTCCACTTGCATTATTTTCATCCGCAATGGGGTTTTGCAATTTGGAATAAGCAAAGACAGAAGTTCGTTAATGACTGCTTACGACTCTTCGCGAGTGCAATTTCTACAAGTTTTATTTATTTCTTTGACCTTCGGATATTTCCAACACGTGTGACGATTCAATATACTAGGAATTTATATACAGCAAGAATAAATAGCATTAAGATTATCATTTTCAATCCTTCGATCGAAATTAGATTTTAGCGCGTATGGTATTGCGCCCAAAGTAGAATAGAACAGACTTCTCCAGGTCGAAGCTGTGCTCGCAGAAATTACTCCAAACAGGACTTCTTAAAATCTTTCCACTTAAAATGTATCGCGGTATTCAAATTCCCTATTCTTCCAATTCGATCGGAGTCGTCTAGTTGTTTCTGGTCTCTTGAAATATTATCAGAAATCCACGGGCGTTTACAGAAAGCGTTCTCGATCATTAACATCTCGATATTCGTAAATGGAACGCTATGACGCATAAAATAATCTCGATTAATCGGCTCCGTATTGCTGTTACTTTTCTTCAAGGTACATTCCACCCAAAGCACTCGACAGCTATTTGCTTCGAAGTTTCCCTGTTCGACATTTCTGTCGAGCTTAGTCCTTTCGCGGTCAAGTCAATGTTTTGGTTGAGCTCTGCGCCAATCAGATTGCAGGAAATTACATATCCAGAACTGGTTGTGGCCCGGACTGTTTAGTAAGGTCTTCTTGTCATAACATGTCCCTGGAACTTACAAAATACTGGTTGTATATATATTTACTCCGAGGTTTAGTGATGAAAATATAGAATGTTACTCTGGGCAATGCATATAAGGTAAGATACAAAATGGAACAAAACTTTTAACCCTGGATTAGCGCTAATAGGGCATTCACGGGAACCGGGACCTGTTGAGCGTTATAACTTATTAATCAATCAAAATAGTTCGCCAGTTTTGATTGGCTCCAAGCCCCGGCTAATTCTTCATAACCAGCTGGCGCTTACCAGACAGCTATTTTGTGGAAGGTTGTCGGAAAAAAAACGTGCACGCGAAAATTCCGAAAGGTAATATGAGTATGATAAATACACTGTCCCTGACACTGAAGCTGTTGAACCTACTTTTGTTGTTTTCCTTCAGCAATAGCAAACATACGTCCATAGCCTCTCGTGCCATTCTTTCAAATTTCTTTGAAGAACAGTGGACTCAAAACCGTCCACAATACCTTTCGTAGCCTGCGTAGCTGGCGGCATTAGCGCGGGAATGCTGTGTTGGTTTGGCGGCGGAGCCACGAGAAGGGAGGGCATACAAGTGAAAAAAGTACCCCTGGCAGAAGAATCCCGCCAGCTACACTGGCTATACCTTTCGGGATTGTCGCGTGCACTTTTTCTGACAACCTCTCTCGAAATAACTGGAATGTGGAAGATGCGAGCAATATACCATCGATTCGATGGTATAAGTTGAATTGTTGCATAGCTGGGATTTTTTCTTCAGCCCGAGCAGTCTTACAATCTCAAATCTTTATTAAGATGAAAATACATATCAGGATCTGTAAGGATTAAGTGAAATACAACTATTCAAAAGCTAAAGATTACTCAAAATGCATTCTGGAATTAATTTAGGTGACGATTTCACAATCTTTAAGCAGTTGTTTCCATATGACATGACTTGCTGTTTTGAAGATGTGGTCATTGATGTCAAAAATTTGACCGCGTTTAGATTTTTCCCGCGAAAGTTAAGACAAACACAAAGCTCAGGATTCTCGTATTTCTCTTGAGTTGTAGCTTACCACTTTTCCGTTTTAGAATATATAGCTCACTTCGGAAAAGATTGATAGCTTGGGGCCTAAACTAGGCGCGCGGGAATTTATGGGATTATTTGAGGGAACGTGAATGTAAACAAACATGGCAGAAAGCGAAACGGAATGTTTCAGCGGGGTTAAAACAGCTCAAAATAACAAAACGGAAGGTGGAACTGAAACAAACAAAAAAAAAAACCAAATGTGAAGCTGAGGGAAGAAGATGTGCCTGGGGCGATCTCACATCGAGAAAAACCAGAAGAATGCACCGTGAAACAGCTGCAGAGATGGCTTCTTTGCTGTGGAGCCAAGACAACCGGAAAGAAAATAAACGCAGCTGAATGCGTCTTGCCTTTGATATTGTATCAAATGCCAAACTAGGGGAGTTCCTGAAGTTATTTGTGCACAAAGGCACACAACAAATTGCACGTCTCGTTTAATTCAAAATGGCTGCTCGACTTGCCCCCCCAAACAATCCCACAAATGTGCGCGCGCTTGGTTTGGGTCCCAGGTTATCTCTTCCGAAGTGAGCTATTGGTGCATAATTTCAGTCAGCCCAAGCTTTTTTCGTTTTGTTGGCTAGGTTTACCGTTCTTTGGTAGAGAAAGGCATAATCACACGTTTTTTCCTTTTCAAAGCCTTGGGTTTATTATTAAAATTTTTGTACATATGTATATATATATATATATATATATATATATATCTAGCCGGATTTATGAAAACCGTAACATCGGACACCAGGAGCCCACACACCTTAAACTGACTCAACTAAAGTAAATATCGCCAAGAAACTCAGCTCTTACCCATGGTTCTCTTAAGGTGACCCTCTTCTTGGTTCCTGATTAGCAAAAGAAACATTCAAGTCCATCAAAAAGACACTCTGGACTTGTCCATACACTCTAGCTGCTTAAAGGCCCTGAATGACGGAGGACGCTTGAGACTTCAGCAAGTTCTAAGCAGAGAATTCAAGGTTAAGTCACCCCCCTGACTTCCTCCACCCCCCCAGCCTAGCACGTGCTTGAGGGGAATGCTTTCATTGGCCAATGGGCCTCAAACGTCACAAGAATTTCACATGACAAACTAAAGGCAGACGTGACCAGTGCACTGACTCTCCCAGACCAGGACTAACGGAAGGTACAACGCTTTTGCAGCAGCCTCCCCCTAGGGATTGACGTGGAGGCCCCTTTCCAACCCATGGCGAGTTAGCTCAGGGACTGAACTTGACAATGAGACCAAGCAGGACAGCAAGCCCCTATGTTTTCTCTCAGCGCAGTGACCAGAAAGCTGGCTATGGCCAGCTTTCTGTGCGAATATTCTGGTGCATTTTCAGGTAGGTTTTCAAAAATTCGGCTAGATGTTGACGACAAATGCTGTCTTTTCCAAGAAGGAGGTCACCTCGGGCCAAATCTGCCTCCTCCCAACCCAGTTTGGCCCCATTTCTCCCCTCCCGACAGCATTCAACGACATCATCTAGCCGGATTTATGAAAACCGTAACATCGGACACCAGGAGCCCACACACCTTAAACTGACTCAACTAAAGTAAATATCGCCAAGAAACTCAGCTCTTACCCATGGTTCTCTTAAGGTGACTCTCTTCTTGGTTCCTGATTAGCAAAAGAAACATTCAAGTCCATCAAAAAGACACTCTGGACTTGTCCATACACTCTAGCTGCTTAAAGGCCCTGAATGACGGAGGACGCTTGAGACTTCAGCAAGTTCTAAGCAGAGAATTCAAGGTTAAGTCACACCCCTGACTTCCTCCACCCCCCCAGCCTAGCACGTGCTTGAGGGGAATGCTTTCATTGGCCAATGGGCCTCAAACGTCACAAGAATTTCACATGACAAACTAAAGGCAGACGTGACCAGTGCACTGACTCTCCCAGACCAGGACTAACGGAAGGTACAACGCTTTTGCAGCAGCCTCCCCCCCTAGGGATTGACGTGGAGGCCCCTTTCCAACCCATGGCGAGTTAGCTCAGGGACTGAACTTGACAATGAGACCAAGCAGGACAGCAAGCCCCCTATGTTTTCTCTCAGCGCAGTGACCAGAAAGCTGGCTATGGCCAGCTTTCTGTGCGAATATTCTGGTGCATTTTCAGGTAGGTTTTCAAAAATTCGGCTAGATGTTGACGACAAATGCTGTCTTTTCCAAGAAGGAGGTCACCTCGGGCCAAATCTGCCTCCTCCCAACCCAGTTTGGCCCCATTTCTCCCCTCCCGACAGCATTCAACGACATCATCTAGCCGGATTTATGAAAACCGTAACATCGGACACCAGGAGCCCACACACCTTAAACTGACTCAACTAAAGTAAATATCGCCAAGAAACTCAGCTCTTACCCATGGTTCTCTTAAGGTGACTCTCTTCTTGGTTCCTGATTAGCAAAAGAAACATTCAAGTCCATCAAAAAGACACTCTGGACTTGTCCATACACTCTAGCTGCTTAAAGGCCCTGAATGACGGAGGACGCTTGAGACTTCAGCAAGTTCTAAGCAGAGAATTCAAGGTTAAGTCACCCCCCCTGACTTCCTCCACCCCCCCAGCCTAGCACGTGCTTGAGGGGAATGCTTTCATTGGCCAATGGGCCTCAAACGTCACAAGAATTTCACATGACAAACTAAAGGCAGACGTGACCAGTGCACTGACTCTCCCAGACCAGGACTAACGGAAGGTACAACGCTTTTGCAGCAGCCTCCCCCTAGGGATTGACGTGGAGGCCCCTTTCCAACCCATGGCGAGTTAGCTCAGGGACTGAACTTGACAATGAGACCAAGCAGGACAGCAAGCCCCCTATGTTTTCTCTCAGCGCAGTGACCAGAAAGCTGGCTATGGCCAGCTTTCTGTGCGAATATTCTGGTGCATTTTCAGGTAGGTTTTCAAAAATTCGGCTAGATGTTGACGACAAATGCTGTCTTTTCCAAGAAGGAGGTCACCTCGGGCCAAATCTGCCTCCTCCCAACCCAGTTTGGCCCCATTTCTCCCCTCCCGACAGCATTCAACGACATCATCTAGCCGGATTTATGAAAACCGTAACATCGGACACCAGGAGCCCACACACCTTAAACTGACTCAACTAAAGTAAATATCGCCAAGAAACTCAGCTCTTACCCATGGTTCTCTTAAGGTGACCCTCTTCTTGGTTCCTGATTAGCAAAAGAAACATTCAAGTCCATCAAAAAGACACTCTGGACTTGTCCATACACTCTAGCTGCTTAAAGGCCCTGAATGACGGAGGACGCTTGAGACTTCAGCAAGTTCTAAGCAGAGAATTCAAGGTTAAGTCACCCCCCTGACTTCCTCCACCCCCCCCCAGCCTAGCACGTGCTTGAGGGGAATGCTTTCATTGGCCAATGGGCCTCAAACGTCACAAGAATTTCACATGACAAACTAAAGGCAGACGTGACCAGTGCACTGACTCTCCCAGACCAGGACTAACGGAAGGTACAACGCTTTTGCAGCAGCCTCCCCCCCTAGGGATTGACGTGGAGGCCCCTTTCCAACCCATGGCGAGTTAGCTCAGGGACTGAACTTGACAATGAGACCAAGCAGGACAGCAAGCCCCCTATGTTTTCTCTCAGCGCAGTGACCAGAAAGCTGGCTATGGCCAGCTTTCTGTGCGAATATTCTGGTGCATTTTCAGGTAGGTTTTCAAAAATTCGGCTAGATATATATATATATATATATATATATAGTTCAGTGGGGTTTCTAATCCTGTTGTGTTCGATTTGAACATTTTTTTTAGTGGAGTGCCTATAAATCTGCTATAAATATATTATAAAATGCTAAACTGGATATTAAGCTAAGTGCACAATTTCATTAGTTTCAACTACTACCATTACAACATTTACAAGCCACCAAAAACCTGAATTGAAAACACATGCTTTTTTTTGGCAGTCCCCCACCCTTGTCGCTCAAGGCTTCACCAATGTGATTTGTCTCGTTCCACGTGCAAGGAAACCGGGGATACCTACTCTTGTCCGTGCAAAAGAGGGTTTACTGGACATCCTGGAAACTGCACAGGTAACAGTTAAGCAAGGCTGGTTCGATTTATTTGTATCAAATCGCGAGAAACCATTCAGTATAACTACCGTAAGAAGGGCCATAGCTAGTTGTAAATTTTACAATTTTAAAATGTGCATTCTAGATGTGAATGAGTGTGACAATGGAACACATGATTGTAACCAGGAGTTGGCGATCTGTAATAACACGATTGGATCATTTACTTGTCATTGCAAGCCTGGTTTTATTGGAGATGGTAAAAACTGTTCAGGTACTGTAATTTTCCTAGCCACTACTTACTGTAGCCATTCAACTTAACGACTTTAAAAGTGTCAAAGTTATAACAAACTCACTGAGGCATCCCAGCCACTTTTTGGAAAAAGTAATGGGAAAAATAGGCAGTCCAAGCTCAAAACATGGGAAAGTATGGGAATTTTCTGCCAATACATAGACTATTTATAGAAAAAAAAAACATTTAAAAATTATAATAATAACAATTAAAAGAATTAAAAAAATTTGCTTGACAGTGCAAAATGCTGACATCAGAATATGTTCTATTTATAGGAAATATAGGAGGATTTCTTGAAATATAGGCTGTTTATAGGATTCTATACAAATTATAGGATAAATAGGAAATATAGGAGGTCTGGGATGCGTGCAGGGTTTCAAGTACCAGCGTTCTTGCCGTTTATTGAAAGGAATTTTGTACGGTGAAGTTTTGAAGGTAAACTGTATTGTATTGACAGATTTTCAACACAAACAATTATATCCCTTTTAATTTTCCGCCTCTGGTTTACTGTTAAAATATTTTTAAAATTACGCAAATTTCAGCCCCAGAATTCTTATGAAATATATTCTTATAGCAAAGGAAAAGTGTGTAGTGACAGCTACAATGTACTCTTGCCTCGGAGTTGTCTTCTTGCTGTTTTTGCTATGTTTTTAGCTATTATTTCGCCTAGTTCCAGCTGTAGTTCTTACTCTTGAAACGAGTGAAGTGTCCGCCATTTTTATTTTCACAACCAAAACAAGTCAACCTCGTCACCGGGTCTTCTCGGTAACGGTGCCTTAACCTGTAGCGGGCTGCATTTTTTACGTCATTTCGTTAAACACAACATTCTTCGAAATCTGGCCATCAGTAACTGGTTATGGTGAATTATGCGTGTGCTTTTAGCCAATCAGAATTGGAGAAGTATTTTGAATGAATAATAATATATTTTCTATCCAGTTCTTACAGTAATACACTGTCCGTTGTTTATTTGAAGGTATAAATATAAAAAATTTGTCAGGTTGGTAAGCCATTGATCTAAAACCTGGTCTAAAAATTGAGGTCTAAACTAAAAATAGTGCGATCTTTAGAATAAATGATCATTATACGTTTCTGGGGAAACTGACCACCCACCCCTCCCCTTTGCCAACATTTTGCCCTAAGTGAGAAGTAAGTGTTAATGCTGGCTTAGGGGAGGGGTAGGTGGGCAGTTTCTCGGAAACGTGTAATGATCCGAGTTCTTTTCGTCGTCGTGGTTGCTCATAAGGTCCCTACTATGTTGTCAATGACAAAATGTTGACTTCCTGCAAATAAACGCCCACGGTTTGGTCGTCTGTGTTATAAGTAGCCTGCGTAGCTGGCGGTATTGTGTACTAGTCGAGTGAGATTTGGCAGCGGAGCCGCTACAATACCTCCAGCTGCACAGACAACTTATAAGCAAATCCTACAGATCAGAGAACTGATTTATTCCAGTACATTGACGATTAACGGCTAAACAAATAACTTCATTAATTTTCAACCAGCCTCAATAAAGTGCTTTTGCTTCCTTGTAAACCATGCCGGTTATTTTTTCGCGGCAGTTCATCACCCGTGTGACTCAGGACGCCACCATTGTAATTTATCATATTCTACTTGCAAGAAAGAACCGGGGGTCGGAGAACGTAACTACACTTGTCCATGCAAAATAGGGTTTACTGGAATTCCTGGAAATTGCAAAGGTAACATCAAACGCCCTGTCCACACTAATGCGTTTTCAATAGTATGCGTTTTCGTTGTCATTGAAAACGCATCGATCGATTCGCGTCCACACTACCGTTTTGATGCGTTTTTTACTGCCCAAACTAAAACGTTCGAAAACGATATTATTACACGTTGCCACGTACGTGTAAGTTAAACTCTACGCACTCTACGTCATCTTTTTTATGTTGATAGGACGTTATGTATGTGTTTCCGTTTTGATCCACTTTCAAGATTTTCAAATCGATACGGTGTGCGAAAGGCCTAAACATATCGAAATATATGGATACGCAATGGTGTGGACAGGGTCTAAATCTTGAAGAAAAGTAAAGTAAACTAACCTGAATTGTCTCACCCAAATCTATCTAATTGAAAAAAAAAGTACATTAATTACTAGTTCTTGTGCTGTAAGTGCGAGAGAAATCACATGTTGACTTAGGGGAGGGGCAGGTGGGCAGTTTCCCATCTAAAAGTATAATGATCTATTTAATAATCTATCTAATTTAAAAAAATGTATCATTTATTCGTTTTTGTGCTGTTAAGTGCGAGAGAAATCACACAGTAATTGAATGTGTCTTACAGATGTGGATGAGTGTGAAAATGGAACAAATGATTGTGACCCGGTGTTTGGGACCTGCGAAAACACGGTAGGGTCATACACTTGTCAGTGCGAGCCTGGATTTACTGGAGATGGTAAAAGTTGTTCAGGTAAAGTAATTCCCGATTCGTAGCTTACTGTAATTTAAGAAGGGTCAAAATTATTAGAAAATTTGAAAGATAGGGTACAGGGTGTATTATGTGAAATGGGCTAACACTGTAGATACTGAAATATATTCATTCATCAAATTTCAAACACAATGACTATCCTTTGACATGTTGGGTAAAGTATCGAGTTATTCCAGTAAATTCTTACTTTTCATATTAGACCTAGGTAAGGTAAGGTAAGGTAAGGTAACGCCTTTAGTTATAGAGGGTAAGCAAGTGACAGTTATGATAAAACTGATAAACTTGTGGCCCTCTCTAAGACATAAAATCGAATATTAAAATAATTTTACACTGTCAGTATAAAAAAAAATAGAAATTAACATTAATAGATACAGTTTAAAAAAAATAACTATCTAAAACAAGTAAAAAATCAAATGAAAAATTTTTCGTTATTTAACTATTGAAAAGGGCTACTAACATACGTTATGGGAGAGGTCATTTTATCAGATACAAAGACTAAGCAGATAAACCAATAAATAAAGTTTGGACTTTTGATTGACTTTTGACAGATGTGGATGAGTGCACAAGTTATGTCCATAACTGCCACCAGCAGGGTATCTGCACAAACAACAATGGTTCATTTTCTTGTCAATGTAAGAAAGGATACGCAGGAAATGGGACTTGGTGTGCAGGTGAGCTTCAGGCTCCGTCCACATTTATCTGTTTTGGCTTAAAAACAGATATTTTTTAAATCCCGCTTGGTCCATCGTCCACACGTATCCGGTGAAAACGGTCACTGAAAACGCATCTTTTCCAAACCGCTCTCCAGAGTGGAGATTTTTGAAAACGCCGTCTTTTTGTTTACGTATGAGCGAACGAAAACAAAGGTTCTAGAATATGATTATGTCATACACCATATACTTCTAGCATGACGCACGCTCAGTAAGGGATCATATTATTTACATCGTTTAAGAGTTTTCGTGTGGCGAAAACGATTCGAATACCCCAGGTAAGGATGAATAATTTTGTTTTTAAACGGAGAAAAAAAGCACCTTAATCGAAAGTATAGATGCTTGTGTAAGGTGCAATTAGCAAGACTCAAACAATTAAAAATTAGCAGGCAAATTAGTGGGCACTTAGCAGGTCAGTCGTTTAAACAAATGGCAGCGTATGGGGTATTTATTCTATAATCTTATGCGGGAAGAGAGACTTATAAACCCTTCTTTTTTTTCACTGGTCCTAAGCTGGGCCACGGCCACAGCAAGAGATATTTAATCATTTATTTACCTACCCATGTGTTAAGTAGGGTTAACTGGAATTCCTGGAAATAACACAGTTTGCAGTTAACGTCTTAAAAATTGATTTGAGTTAGTGACAGGAAAATCAAATGGAAATAAAAATAGAAACGGTAATGATGATGATCATAATAGTGTATAAATCATAATTTTTAGTGATGGTAAAAATTCAGTCAGATTGCGAGAAACCATTTGCCTCATGTAAGGGAATCCAGGACAGTCTTGTATTTCGGATTTCACACTGCGGATTCCGGATTCGAGGTACTGGATTCCAGTATTTGTCAGTAGAACTTGGATTCTGAATTACAATCGTTAGTGGGATTCCGGATTCCTTGAGCTGCATTCCGGATTCCTTAAGCAAAATTTTCCCGGATTCCGGAATCTGGATTCCCTTACATGGGGCGAAACCATCAAGTATGACTACTGTAAGAAGGGCCATAGCCAGTTGTAAATTCAAAAATTAATGTGCATTCTAGATGTAAATGAGTGTGACAATGGAACATATGATTGTAACGTGAAGTTGGGGAGCTGTGAAAACACGATTGGATCATTTACTTGTCATTGTAAGCCTGGTTTTACTGGAGATGGTAAAAACTGTTCAGGTAGTGTAATTTTCCTAGCCACTACTTACTGTAGCCATTCAACTTAACGACTTTAAAAGTGTCAAAGTTATAACAAAATCACTGAGGCATCCCAGCCACTTTTTGGAAAATCTAATGGGAAAAATAAGCTGTCCAAGCTCAAAATATAGGAAAATACAGGAATTGTCTGCCAATATATATAAGGCTCTTTACAGAATAAAAGTTAAAAGAGAAAGAAAAGAGAATTAAAAACGAATTAAAAGAAAATTAACAAAATTAACAAAATACTATTTTTCCTTATAAAGAATTTTTATTTTGTTAATTCAGAACAAAGTGGCTTCAAAGTGCAAAATGCAGATATCAGAACATGTTCTATTTATAGGCAATTTAGAAAGAGTTCTTCAAATATAGGCTCTTTATAGGATCCTATACAAATTATAGAATGAATAGGAAATATAGGAGGTCTGGGATGCGTGCAAAATTTACAAGAAAAATAAATATAGTCTAATTTCTCTATCATTTCCTAAGCTCTTCCTTCAGTCTGAAAACTTAGTGGATCCATGCAGCAACCTATGAGCTGTTCAGGCTATTTAACAGAACCGGCCGTTACGAGGCCAAATTTATTCAGGCGTTTATCGTAGCAGATGGTCACGCAATCAAATTCTACGAATGCTAGAACTAGATGTTTCTTTTGTTAAGATGGAGAATAGAAAGAGCGTTTAAACTTTAAGTCTGTGACTATTCACGCCTACATCTCAAAAGTAACGAGGGTTTCTCTCGCCAAAAGAAAAAAGAATTTATATGGTAAAAAATTCAAAAAGAGATTTTTGAAACTTTTAAATTGTTGTTAGATCTGTAACATGAGCACTACAGGCCTCAAATTACCTTTTTTTTTTACATTTGTTTTATTTCTCACCAGTTATTATTTTCAGATAAGATAAATACAGAAAAGTTTGCAAACTTCATATTTAGTGTAGCATTTCACATACTTACATGTAGTGGCAGATTTAAGAGCGGTGAATTACGTCACAACCCAATTACTCTCGATGAGAAATTAACTAAATAGTATCCCACACGTTCCGCTATAAGAAATACTGTCTTACTCAAATAGAGAATTTAAATTTAGCCAAGGCTAAATGCGGAGCTCCCGTTAATAAATTTATAATTTACTTCAAACAATTCAATTGTAAATTATCATTGCAAAGAAATCCTTTTCGAGTTACGCATGCAATCCGTCAAAGGATAGAAGCTTGTCAGCGGAAAACGTAAAAAATACGTCACATTGATGGCTCGTCACCTGAGCCCGCGAAGTGGTCATGTGATATTGGTCAGTGGTTAACAAAACCGACTTTTGATCTTTTTTTGTACGCAGATTTGAATGAGTGCGAAAATAGTAAACATAACTGCCACCAATTTGGTATCTGCACAAACAATTTTGGTTCATTTTCTTGCCATTGCATGAGGGGATACACAGGAAATGGGACTTGGTGTGAAGGTGAGAGAGAATAGGAACTTGGAACTTGTAGGGAATAACTGGATTCTGTAGTAAATATAATTATTAGTTGTTATTAGTCAATCAATTAATCGTTGTTATAAATCATTTAATAAATTTCTATTTGACAAATCGACCACAATTTTTCATGGTCTACACTCTTATATGACGTCATAAAATGCTCACAACTCAAGTGGAACCGCGAGCCATAGGCGGTTGGTTTCACTGACCAATGAGCGCGTGAGGATTCGCGCGCCACATCATATTTATCAGTTTCGCTGACAAATCAGCGCGCGAGGATTCGCTCAGTTATTGTAAAATATCATTCGATTATTTATTTATTATTCATTGGGATGCGTTGTTGGACATGACTGTTTTGTTTTTTGTCTTTTTTATGGTTTCACGGCGTATCACAGAGCATTTATTCTTGTTTTTTGATAAACACGCACACGACAGGTAGATTACATTCAAAATATGTCATCATTCATTATCTGCTCTTGAAGCGATTGAAATATAAAATATTTATCAGTCGCCATGCTCAGGTCTAGAACTAATGCTACGAGACATGCCGTTCATAAAGTCTGGAGCTTATCTGGACAAGTTTAAGCTAAATACCATTTAGGTAGTCAATATCAGTTAAAAATTCCTTAATGTAACTTGAATTTGCTTTGATAGACTGTCCAAAGTATTCAGTGTGTATTCAAACGACGCCGTTTTCCTGTGAATGTTGGCGCAAGTTCTTCTACCCTCGTGATCCAGAAGAACCAGTAGCGTCTAAAGGTTGTTATAATCAAAGCTATTATAAAGGAAAAACCTCAAAGTTGAGAATACCTAACGTAAAATTTCGAAAATAAGCCTTTCCGTGTATAGGCCCCTGAAACCCGTAACGCAAAAAGCCCTCCGTTACATCACCCCTCCGAATATAAGCCCCCAGGGGCTTGGAAATTGCCCCCAAATACAAAGTAAAACAAAGCAAAAACGGTAAATTTCCTTCCAACTGTAAGCTAGCCCAGTCAATTTTGAAACGCAAATTTCCCTGCCCACATAAGCCCCACAGAATGATTCCCTCCAAAAATAAGCCTCTCAAAAAGGGCCTTTGAAAAATATAAACCCCGGGGGTTAGTTTCGAAATTTTACGGTATTCGTCATGTAATTAACAAAGAATGACGGATTTACGAATTGAGTTGTTTTAAAGATGGCTCATAGGAAATTTTTGATTAACTACAAAGAGAGCATGAGCGTTGTCTTGGTGACAGATAATTTTCGAGCTATTTTGTTTTAGAACGTTTAGGGCAGAGACATATACACATAAGATCAAGACTAGGGCCTTCAGAGGAGATTAGGCAAGCTCCGTTTCGCGTCTCAGTTTCTCTCCTTATCCCCTAGAGACACCTAACACTCGTTTAGTTCTTTTTGGAACCTTTTTATCTTTCTCACATGATGTCACGGCGGCCATATTGTTTTATAACCGGTCAGTGTAAAACGCAGACTGCGGACTGCAGATTGCAGACTGCGGACCAGGGGTAAAAAACAGACTGTGTGTAAAATGCAGACTGCAGACTAAGAGTAAAAAGCAGGCTGGGGTAAAATGCAGACCAAGCATAAACTGTAGTCGTGGAAGGGTTTAAGGGTAAAAAAATCGCGCAAATACATGTAAACGAACACTTACTTGACGACATATGCTTTCACAAATCCATTCCTTTCTTCTCTGGAACGTCGTCGATGACCCGAAAACATAATCGCACTCTTGAACCTTTTTTCCCGTCCGAGAGACTTCACACTTCAACTTTAGATCCGAAGTTTTCGATATACGTGACCAGGGACCGTGAATTTGTACAATACCACGATGTTTACGCTTAAATGAAAGCTGCTGACCTAAAATACTGTACGGGAAGAATTATGGCGATAAAAAAGGGAGTAAATCATTCTAACAACAAAAAAAGGGTGTTCTGCAGGAAATTTGGATGACCTTCTGTGAAAGTGTTGCAAATCAAGGTACGCAGACTTAAGCTGTTCGGATGTTCATTGAAACTTCTGGCGAATGTGCAATGCACTTCGACTAGGAAGCGAAGTGTGTAGCTGATACCGGCTAGCTATTTCACCGATTTGGAGAAGAAGGAGCACAAATGTTTAAAAACGTTTACAGTCTTTATTCTGCATTTTTCACCCAGCCTGCGTTTTACTCTCAGTCTGCAGTCTGCATTTTACACTCAGTCTGCATTTTACCCCTGGTCCGCAGTCTGCAGTCTGCAGTCCGCAGTCTGCGTTTTACACTGACCGGTTTTATAACATAATGAAAGGGCGCCCGTCCAACAGCAACAACACAAAAAGCCTCTTTGAACTTATGTGAAAACTTTCTTTGTTCCAAGAAGTTTGCAAAGCTGCTGACTGCGTGATTGAACACGATCTGCAGCTAAACTCTGCGAACAAATGATATCAGCACAAGTTCATTTACTGCGCTTTTCGCAAACACGTGAACTCTAAAGTTCGAAAGCCGCCTTCACAATTGCGTTTTTCGCTGTCGTTAATCATAATTACAATCACAAGCAACGAACCTTGAAACACAAAAAAACACAAAACGGATCGAAATCCACCGATCATAGATCACAAACCATGACCTTTTGAACCCGTATAAGTAAAGTTCTGTTTCCCAAGAGGTCCGCTAAGATAATTGGCGGCAGCGAAAAAAGCAAACGTCAGTTGGTTTTGAACGTAAACGTTTGCGTGTTTTTGAAAAAGTGCAGTAAGGTTATCGTGAATGAAAGGTTACAGTGGAACCCCCCCTTACGGTCACCTCTTTATTACGGCCACTTTTTTGGCTGCCAGGTGAGACGACCATACTGATTTTCTTGTAGAAAAGTCTCGTTAATATGGTCACCCGTTAATACGGCCATGATTTTTTGGCTCATTGGTGACCGTATTAACGGGCATATACTGTAACTGAAAGCTTTGTTTCGGTGCCTATTTATAGAATGTAGAGTTATTTGGCCTCTGGGAATGGAAAACATGATGATCACCGACAAACAAATAAGTGCGTCTTCCGAATACGCACATAACCTTGCAGCCATCTATGGGAGAGTAAATTCTAGAAATTGTTGGGTAGCTAAAAACAGGAACTGGCATCAATGGCTTCAAATTGATCTAGTCGGGCACAACTACATAGTAACACGGGTTGCCACTCAAGGAAGACATTGCAGATGTACACAATGGGTAAAGAGTTTCTTTCTCCAGTACAAGGGACGTGATGACGAAACATTCCAGGACTACAAAGCACAAGGGGAGACAACTCGTAAGGTAAGGCTATTCAAACAAATGAAAAAGATAATAACCCATCATGTTAATTACTGGCGTTATACAAAGACAATTATCAGTCAATCAAATGATTTCGCCATTTCTGAGACTAAAATCCCCAGTTAATCATTTACGGCCAGCCGTCGTTGACCAAATTTGGAAGATCCGAGCAATATACCATTGATTTGATAGTATCTTGGCGTGGAAACGGCGTTGATCGATCATATATTTACATGGAAAGGAGAGTGAACTAAAAACAATGCGGTCCATGGCTATCTGCTCTTTGAAGAGCATATGCAAGAAAAAAAAATGTTTACATCCTGAAACCGAGCCAAGACGCAGGCCAAAGTTTCGACAGTCGCTCGGCGAGGAGGGAAGCTCGACGTTAAGAACTTAGAAATTCATTAATTTTAAATGAATAATAAAACAATCATCGAATTCAGCCTTTCTATGATGTGAAAGATTATGCTGATATCTTCGATCTGCATAATTTTCGCATCATAATCAGTCTTATAATGATAAGCAGAAAAGAACTGTATTAGGTACTGTCTTAACATCACAAAATCTACTCTGAATTCCTAACTTTTACTTTGTTTCATCATAGGATTTTTTTGGAAACAGCGATGGCGACAGAGTGATATATCACAATCTTGCTCCACCAATCATCAAGGCCCGCTTCATCCGCTTCCGACCAACGCATTGGAATCATTTCATCGCAATGAGAGTGGAACTCTATGGCTGCAAAGGTCCCGATAATTTTAAATCGAACGTTGCGATTCCAGTGACATACACGCATATTTGTTATCTTTCCAGAATTGGCTTTTCAAAGATAATAATTAGGCTACTTTTAAGTACAAAAGGCAGCAAATTACATTGTACACTAATTGACAAATTTTAACTGTCGAAAGAAAAATATATATTAAGTAAATAAATAAATATATAAATAAATAAATAAATACATTATTTAAAACCTAACACAAATAATGTATATCCTCCAACTAAATTGCAACATACATATTATTCAACTCAGGTATAGGAAGTAGCTAATAACAGTGTGTGATTTAGGCCATTCGTTTGACTTGAAAATTTGGTAAGAAGGAAAACTATGCTGAAATGTGGTGGTGTTGATGAGAAAATAATCTAAAAAACAACGAGGGGAAGCGAAATAATTGACTTGTGCAGAAGCAAGAATGTAAGTGAAATACCGCAAATCCCCTATTAAGCCCCGCTATCTAATAGGCCCTCCCTTTTTAGGGGAAGAAAGTTAATAAGCCCCCCTCCCCTTCCCATTATTATTCTTTACTAATAAATGATAGACTGTACAAAACTGAAATCCTATTAGATTTACCTTTCTCTTCCTTTCAGATCCTTCTAGACAACAACAGCAATCTTTATTTATAGTGTCTCTCTTGCCTACAAATAAATTACGACAATGAAAATATATATATAAAAAAGAGATCGAATACTGGTTGCATGGAATAACCATAGGCGCAAGCAGAGCCAGGCAGCTAGTTGACATAATGAAGTATTTTACAGGTCAGCAAGATATAAGAACAGCGCACAATAGCTATTACGGCTAATAGTCTAGTAGTCTAGTAATTATAGTCTAGTCTAGTGTGTATGTATGTACCATTTATACCATTGGAATTCTTTGTTTCTGGCAGTTGATATACCAGAGGTGAGAATTACAAATGCTGGACCACAACCTGATAAAGCGATGAAATTCAGACGTGACGAGACAAGGCAATTTGAGGCGTGGTTTGACCCCGACGACCAAGAAACAAGAAAAGTGACGTTCAGCTGGTCCATTTTTAACATTACTTATCCACCGCTTAATATTTCAGCAAATAATCATTCGTTGGCCCCAAACAACCTTGAATTACACATAAGAAGACGAATGCTCACAACTGGGCTAAAACTGGTCATTTTTGAACTAATTGTTGAAGGAGGAGAACTGGCATCAAGAGATTTTGCCTTTCTGGACGTTCATGAATCTGCTCTTGTTGCGTCCATCACGGGAGGATCGGAGGTTGCGAGGTCCATCAAAAAACCAGTTACTGTAGATGGTAGCCGATCTTTTGACCCAGAATATGAAGTAGAAACACATGCAATGACCTTTTCTTGGTTCGTTCTGGAACCCATAGACAATGGATACATGTCGGGAAGGATAAATGGCTCGGACACAAACTCCTCTTTCACGAGGCAACTCGAGACACTTAACACAACATCAGCAATGGCTTTGAACGAAACACGAAACAGATCTTCTCAGACTTTCTTAAAAGCTCTTGAATACTTTGAAACTCACATGGGTCACATGCCCGTGGTGCTTAGAACTGATGTTTTTAAAGAACACGCAACTTATGGAAAGATCATTTTAAATAATGCACAACTGATCACCAATACCACATATTACATAATTCTAACGGTACAGTCAGACCGAAGGATTGCACACACAGTACAAACCTTGCACCTTCGTGATGAAGAAATGGTTGAAATTGGAATTAGGTAAGTTCTTAATTCAGTAAAATAACATGATATACAGACGGTAGTACATTCATTTTTACACCAAATTAGCAAATATTTACTTCAGGCGGAAACTTAAGCCTGGTTTTCACTAGCGCATAAGCATAAGCAAATGAGTAAGCAAGTGAAAACTGGGTCGACATAAGCATAAGCACAAGAAAAACGGACGAGTTTGTTCTTCTTGTGCTTGTGCTTATGCTTATATAGTAGCTTTGACTAGTTAAAACGGGGTCGACATAAGCACAAGCATTAGCACAAGGCCGTGGGCCAATCATAAGTCACCTTGACCCAGACCTCGTGCGAACATATCAAAACATATCAAACGCAATATGGGGGACGCTTCGTCCGCCATCTTGTTTATCATCGGGTTGAGGAGAGCTGGTATCGAGAATTGAGTCAAATACGCCATTCTGCGCGTGCGTATGTCCTTATGCTTATGCGCTAGTGAAAACCAGGCTTTAGGGCTAGTTATTTAAACGGAGTTTAGCCAGTGTTTTCATATCCCAGTGGGGGGTCCAGGAATTTTCATTGGGGTGGGAGGAGGGGACAAACAATGGTTCAGAAAGGACTGTTGAACTTTCGAACAGATCATAGGCGGGTACCCCAAAAAACCAATAACATTTTTGAATATCCCTTTTCTCTTAACAGCGCTAGTTTCATGAATACTTGTGGTGTTGACTAGAAAAGCATTAATCTTCTTTAAATAATCGATTACTTGGGTCTATTTTAACATCGTAAAACGAAAGGTTTTGCCCAAATTTGAGTGTTATACCAGGAAGGAGTCTTTAAAAAAAAAAAACACCCCCAATGCATGGAAAGGAATCACAACCGAGCAAACCGTCCTGACAACCACTTAAAACTCTAACCCTGTCATTAAATACATTGCCCAGTGTATGCTCCCATTTTTCATATCCCCCATTCCTCGTTCCTATTTTAGCAACATCCCCTTCCTCTAAATTTGTCTAAAACACTCAAATTTTTCATTATCTTGCAATAGGTGCGTCCTAAACTGTGCTCCTGTGGTCAGCTCGTCATCTACTATTTCTTTGAGATCCCTTTTTCTCAGTCCTTGTGATGAAAATGGTTGTTATACCTCTTTGATATACAACTGGAAAATGTTCAGAAAAGGAGGAAATTCCTCACATTTCGTATGGACTTATGAAACAGACTTGGCACGCTATCTCCTAACCAAAGTGGATTCTAAGAATTTGGTTCTGAAACCACAAGAGCTTTCACCCGGTTTTGAGTATCGTTTAACCGTCGATGTGCGATCTCTATTTGGTGAGCGCGGATGGGCAGAATACCAATTTAAAACATCTGAAGCCCCTACAGGAGGGTCATGCAATGCTACGCAGCTGGAACGCGACGGGCTGCAAATAGCGCTGAACATTTCTTGTGAAGGATGGGCTGACAGTGACCAACCACTGATGTATGAATTCTATCGTAAATTAGATGATGGAACATTCGATATGCTGTGGTATGGCTCTTTATCTCAGTGTATCGTGCATCTTACGCCACTGGCGCCTGAATTTAAGGTGGATCTTAAGGTTGATATATTAGACGCCCTTGGAGCAGTGACTGAAAAATTTCTACAGATTCAAGTAAGAAAGTAAATATCTAACCTAATTTATTAACAGAATTAATGAAATTCGTTTTGGAGTGTTTATTCACTATCAATTAAGCAAGTTTCAGTGTGAGGGCATTTCCCCAGGGCTTTTCTCTTTGCCCTCTCCTATTTTCTAATGGAAACGCTCTGGGGGCGAGGTTGGGAAAATATTACTGAAATCAAAGATGTTCTGAATCATGAGTGATTCCTTACAGACTTAAGAAAACAGGAAATGCGAAAAGTTAAGTGAAGCAAAATAGCTCAAATTTTTCCGATCACGTGATCAGAGTTTGCGTATTGCATCTTGTTCAATCTCGGATTCAAAGTAAGGAATCTAATACCCACGTTGACCTTCTATATAGATCTCTAAATGGCCTTAGACTTATCAATGGTTGGACTAGATAGCCTTCTATTTACATAATGTGGTGATATCTTAACCGAAAGCATTTTAGATTTGTGCACTTGTTTCTACAGATATTACAACAATAACGCCTCCCATTTAATAAACGTCCCCACTTAAGCACCTTAAATTTAACAGGGTGTCTATTAGTCATTTACGGTACACGTAAAGTTACCTGAAATTTGGAACTCATATGTAATCATGAAGTCTGGAGGCAGTACAGATACGAATTTTAAAAGAACACCCTAAAATAGAAACACAAACGATGGCTAGATGAATGCTACATGTAATTAACTTTTTCTTTACAAAATTTACGCTTTGGTGTTTAGCCTGAGAAAACGGCCAGCATTTCGCGACGCCATCATTGGTTTCTCCGCAAAGTGACGTCTGATGTAGGTAGTACTTCTGATTGGTTGAAAATTTGCTTCATTCCATGAGAAGCACTACCCAGATCTGAGTAATGACGAGTTATAAGTACTGGAATTTCTGCCCTCGTTTGTCAAACGTCATTTCACGAAGAAACCCGCAGTAGTGGCGCGGCTGCTTTCTCAGGCTACGCAATGTAGAGTGTTTTCATAGCTGATTCCATCCAACATTTAATAATGCAGTATCAGATCGCCCTCAGATTAATGTATCTCGCACTCAATGCTTGTAAATATCAGTCATTTTTTTAGTACCATGCTGTGGTCTCAAAAAACGCAGTAGGTTTAACAACAACTTTGCACGCGCATCACGCTTTTTTGCTCATTTCGTTGCTGTCACTGCACGACTACGACGTCAAAGTGCCTAATTTCACGCTTTGTAGAGGGCGAAAACACAAGACAACGCCTTTCTTTTTTTCCCTTGAACTTCGATGTAGTCTTTATTTTTTAACCCCCCAAACATTTGCAACCATTTGACGATCTGAACGAGGTGGGATACGCGCAACAAAGTTGAAGCAGCGCGAATTCACTTTAAAGTGACGTTTTTATAGGCGTCGCCGTCGTTTTTGCTTAAGCTGCCTATTTTTTGAGTGAATGCGGTTACGTGGAGAGAAATTAACTATCACGTTGTAACGAAGTTCTTTTGGTCAGTTATCTTTTTCTTCTCCATCCAAATATGGTACTTGCGTGAATGAATACTCACGAGTATCGGACAAAGCAAACATATGAGAATAATACGTTTCATTCCCTTTATGAGTTTTACTTCTCTTTTTTAAAAGGTTTTTTCGTCACCTGAACCAAAGAATGACGAGATGATTTATGAAGCGTTGAAGCAAATGGCTGACGACATGGATCGTTTCTTGATGCTCGATCAATCGAACCTGGTCATTAGACGAGCAGAATCTCTTCTCGATTCGGCTAAAATGGCCAAAAATCGGATCAATGAAACTTTCCATGAATGGGTAACGACTTACTTTAATTATTATCAAGTTCTCTTTTTAACTTAACTGCTTATACTGCACTTGACTGGAGTGCGAGAGCAGACGCTTCTTTCGGTTCTTGTTTCACTCGCCGAAAATGGTGTCTGTTCTCATCGCAGTCTAGCACCAAGGACACTCGGGGTCCTTTCCTTCCGTATTTACCACAAACAAATGTCTGCATAATATCAAAACAGAAATTACGTGCCTTATTGCCTATTTGTAGAATCAAAGAAAAACCCGCGGTTACCTCTGGATTTTGTTTGTTGTTGCTGACAAAGAAAAAAAAATTGCAGGTCTTTCTTTACTGTATTGTGGTGACCATGACCTCCATCATCTACTACTTTAGGTCATGTTCACACTTAACGCACGAAAACCATTATACAGGATCGCGCTTCTGATTGTTCACTCATAACAACTGTGATTTCGGCGCAATTTCTGTAACGGCGCGTTGCTGCGCCAAACAAGTGGTTAGTCACATATCGGACAGGTCACTATACCGGATAGACACGAAAAGCTATCCAGTAAAATGTGAACATAGCCTTTAAGTTTACATCCTACGTAATGCCAGCATTAGCTAGGCTAAAAATCATACAATGTGGTGGTATGAGTATTGATTACTTCCGTTCTCTTTTGCCCAAATCCGAGCTGTATTTGGTAAGTTATTATCGTGTTCCTTTCCTGAGGTAACAAATCATTTGAAGCCACGCAAAGACAGCTTAAGTGTTTATTTGTCAAAATTTAAGAGAAACCTTGAGGACACTTTTTTTGTACTTTTTTGTACGTGTCCCAGTGATGAGAAGGTACTCACGCACACACAGTCACCAGCCTATCGCCTCACTGCGCTTGATGTACTTGGAAAGTGACTCAATAACCACAATCAAAACTTAAGAATGATTTAAGATGGCAGTTAATAATTTAAAATACTTCTCAAGCATTAGTTTTCAAGGACTGAAAAACGTCTCAAAACAGTAGCATTATTTCCTATTTAACTCTAGTAGCCATGTTGAAAGTTCCCAAGATATCAAATTGAATTATCAGAGTAATTCTTTTTTTATTTCACATAGAAATGATATATTTATCTTTCTAATTTCGTTGCAGGTCATTGAGCACGTTATTTCCAGGGTTACTAAAGTAAACGCGGAGAGCCTTGAACGGCTATTTCAGGTTGCAATTATGTTGGGCAAAGCAACGGAGGACATCGACAAATTGACTACTAAGAACATGGTAACCTATAAAACGCTCTCTGCTTTAGTCACTGGAAACCGCCTCACATAAATCGAGAGAACGTGATTTAAATAACCCCCAAGATCACACTTGCGAAAACATGATCCCCAGTAATTTTGAAAATATAGGCTTATATAATAGGCTTTTTCGACTGGCCTTTTTATCCTTTCTCCCTTAATTGAGAACAAAAGATCTTTTTAGAGAGTTCTATTTCAAAGCAGAGACCTTTAGTTTCGAGGACGAAGACGACTGAGGCGACGTGATTAAACTTAGAGACATCCCGGAAATCTTCATAGTAATTGACGCACGACTTCTCCCGATTGCAAATGTCATGTTTTCCTGCCAAAATGACGCTGTTCACGCGAGCGCACTACTAACTATTGAAAGAATCTCGCTTGCGCAGTCGTCCTCGTCGTAGAGTCTAAGGGCACCAACTGAAATTTTCTAGACGGCTGAACTCATCTAGTTGGTTAACGCCGTAAACATCATGCAAATCTAAAAAAAAACAGAAAAACAAAAACAAAACGGTGGAAGGCAAGTGCAAGTGCAAGTTTTTGGGAAGTTTCAGAAAATGGAAGCCGGCCTTGCTGCTATAACAGGTCAACTTTTAAAACGGTATTCGACGTTCTGCAATAAATATCGTTCTAATATTGTACAAAAATGCTTTGATTTTCCAGCGTACGGTTTTAGCCAAACTTGATGACATGAAAGGAGTGCTTTTACTGAAAGCCAAGTATAAAACTGACACAAGACTCATCAAGGAAGGGGTCCGGTCTTACTTGTACTGTATCAGCAACATGAAAAAAGCTACATCTGAGTCATTTGAGGGAAACAGTACTGGAAGCTTTTCACTATCGAATGAGGTAAATACCACCGTGGTAATAGTATTCTTTTTTCTCTACAGAATATAAAAAAATTGTCAAGAGAAAAGAATAATAATAAATAAAGAGAAATGGGAAGATAGTAAAACTCAGTAATAAATATAAAATAAAAAGGTGGATTCTTAATTAACAGGATGCAATGGAGAAAATGGTGACACAGATAAACAAGTGGTCAAAACACAGACAAAAACACTGATTCACATGAAAGTAGTATATTTATGTATATATAGCATGAGTAGTATTGGGATAATAATGATTGAAGAGGGAATTCCGTAAAGCCTAGAGCGGATAGGCCAACAGTCTGAAGTGTACTGACCAAATCGTCATGATCGCCTGAGTCTTCTCAAAATGGTTTTAGAGAACATGCAGCTTAAAGTGGGACGATTTTTAATAGAAACTGCAGGAAATCATGAGAAAATTTTTGTGTTTTCAATGGCTGTACCGTAACTTTTCTACCTCTTTCCTTATTATTCACACAAAACATTCGCCGCCTCTGATTCCTCGGTCTGCATTCTTCACATCACATACACGAAGAATTTAGTAATTGGTAATTATTTTTAACGCTGACTCAAGCTGGTAAATCAATTTTCTCTTAGGAAAAGAGGAGAGCCGAGATGCGCTTAGAGTTACATGTACTGACAGATGTAATGACCAACACAATGCTTTCACTGAAACAGCCTGGAGAAGAATATTCCGCGGTAAAAAATAAGCTTCAATCCACTGTTCTGGGGAGAGAGGAGGTAAAGGACATAACACGACTGGCTGTAAAGGATAACGAGCGAGGCGCAGGATTTCAACTCCCCGAATTCAGCAATAAAACAATGGCTGAAATATTTGCAGAAACTCCCGAAGTGGGAGTTCAGGTAAAATATGGATCAGAGCGTTTTCACATGACGTCGCGGCAGCCGTGTTGGTGTTCCAAAGTAATGAAACGGCGGCCATTTTGGTTTCTCAAACAAGTCCTGTGGGAGTTGAACTCTCTTCTTATGTGGATGCTTTCGTTTTTTCCAATAAATTTGCATAGATGCTGACCACGTGAGTGAAAACGCTCAATATATAAAAGGTCTGGATCACCTTTAAAAATCGCAGACAGCGATTCATGTGTTTAATCTTAAGCTAAGAAGACTAAAATGCATTTCACACCTTACTGTTCAATTTTGCTGACCAGCAAAATGGATACAGTTAAAGATTTCTAATAAATATAACTTTTCTTCGTGCACTAAAATGTTGTATTTGATTTGTTGCCTAGATGATCACCTACGAATTCATTCCTCAGTTGTCAACTAACAGCACCAATCATATCAATTCCAAAATCGTCAGCGTGGATTTGAAGAATGACCAAGGCCATACAATGCAAATTAAAGGCTTACCTTCTAACATCGCTATCAAAGTTCCATTCTCGCAAAACGCAAACAATACAAACTCTACTCCAGTTTCGCAACGATTCTTAAGTCCTGGAATCATGAATTATCACATCGTTAGCGTTGAACATGAGTACACCGAACTGCATGCAGCCATAAAATTATGCCAACAGGCATATTTTACTGTTTACATTAAACATGGAAAAAAACCATCTGAAAATGATTTCGATGACGTGGTTTCAATAATTGGCGAGAAAAATATATCCGATTCAGGTTGCGGTGGTAATGAAGACGACTTCGCTGTCCGAGAAATTTGGTTCACTGCAATCAAACCGGGGAACTACTACTTCGGTCTTCGACTGGATGAAGGAAACACAGCTATCCAATCAAGAAACAGGCGTTCGCTGATGTCTGCAAGTCTGTCACAGGACAGATGCGTCACCTTCAAAAATCCCCCACCAACCCCACCACCAGAACTCGTTGTCATCGAGCCCATATACGACCCTCAAACGTCTGTAAACTACAGTTTTTATGTGGATACCATTTGGTGTGCTTTTTGGTCTGAGAGCGAAGAAGTGTGGTCAAATGAGGGATGCATAGTAAGGGCGATCAATTTGAAACCCTGGAAAGTGAAACAAATCAGGGGCACCCAAAGACGTTTTTTCAGTAAAATAACGGTTCGAAGGAACACATATTGCCTACAAGATAATTTCTGGAAAAACTGTTCAACTCTTCTAAGATATTTGGGTTTTTTCAAGTAACTTGTACCTAGAACGATTTTCGGAAGTTGTGATTTCACAAAATCGATATACGAAATGAAGTTCCCCTAGAATTTTCTAATGAAAGTACGACTGGACCCATTAGGGACTATATTTCTCTAGGGCAGCTCCAAATTAACCAAAAAGTCTTCTAAAGCATAGAGAAAACCATTTGAGACACTTGTGACCCATTTGAAAACATTCCGTTGTTGGGTGCCCCTGTTTTACATCGTTTTGTCATGTAACGGCAGATTTCTACACAAGCCTACACTCTTTGGGTGAACAACTTTAGCTTTACATTATAAATCCGCCCTAGACCGTCTTTTCAAAACTAGCTGGAACCTCTTCAGCTGAACGGGCTTCAACCTCTCCCCTAAGCGTTCTTAGAAAATGGGAAGGGTAGATTGGAATGGCTTGTTAAGTGTTGCCAGTTAATTATTATGGTTAATTCATGGCTAATTACTGTAAGGGCATACAACTGTCATAACAACAAAAAGTATCTTCCCACAAAGCCCTCGTAAGGGACGTCAAGTCAAATCCAAAATATTCTGACTGAGTATTGTCTCACTGAAAGCCGAGTGGTATGCCTTTCATTCATAGGTGGGTAGAAATTCAAGCAGTACATCTCTGGAATGTCTTTGTAATCACTTGACCTCTTTCGGTGGGGAATTCTTTGTGGCACCAAACGCCATCGATTTCGATGCAATCAAGCGGACAATGGAAAACTTGGATCCTGGTGACTTGTTGGTCCTGATCACTGTCTGTGTTGTATGTTTGGTATATTTTCTGGTTCTAGTTGCCGCACGCCGAGCTGACAAAAGAGATGCTGCTAAGGTATCTTCTCTGACGATATTTTACAATTCTTATTTGCAACCACGTGACAAGGCGGCACCGCCATATTGGTTTAAGAAACACTATTTTTTGCATAATTTGCATTAAAAAATGTTTCTTTCCCAGAGGGGACAAACGCTTTTGTTCTTGTCAACCAACATTGCTGCCGTGACGTCACATGCAAATCAACAACAGAAAGTTTAAGCAAAGACGTGTTTTAGCGACGCACGTTAACCGAAAGTGGACTTTTGCATTCTTGGGCAGTGGTTTTGCCAAATGCATTTGGCAAATCGACTCTGCCCTGTTCGCACTACTCTAAACTTTGTTTTTTTTTTTGCAAAAAAATATGTCAACAGGCAGCCATTTCTAGAGCAAATGATTTTTCTCACCTACCAGAAAATTTCCTCAAGTGTCAACAAACTTCAAAGATGTGGTCGAGTAGATTTAATTGGAGGCCTACAGTTTTTTGTCAGACAAAAGAATTCTTTGTTCCTTCGCAGCTATACTTCGTTGTGTCATCTTAGTTCGCGAACATGACCAATTAAGGTTCCTTTAATTGACAGCTCTGATTATACGAAAAACTTTGCGTGTCTCAGACACTAAGCGAAAACGGAAAATTGGTGATTACAACTGTTTGAAATTTTTTGGAAACACCAAACTCTATTTTTTTGACGTAGTGTGAAAAGGGCCTTAAACGTACGTACGTACGTACCTCAAACACGTCTTTTCTTAAACTTCCTAATATGTTATCTAACTAAGATTCCCAGACAGCATGATTAATAGCAGCAGCAGAAAAAGCGCACTATTAGTAGCAGTTAAGTAGATAAATTATTTAAAGTCTTAAGTCCAAGTGTTTTGATTTCTCTCTTGACAATGAATAAGTTCCCCAACGAATCTGATTCAAAAGATCAAGATACCTTCTTAGCACTCATGTTAACATAGAAAAGTGCAAAAACTTATTTGCTGTGTCAAGATGAAGCACGTTTGCAAGTAATTTTGGCTCATGCAGAACACAGAAAACCTGTCTAATTTGTCTTTCAGGACGGCCCTATTATACCAGTGACCCATAATGGTGATTGCGAATATGAATACATAGTGTCTATAACTACAGGCGCATGGAGAAACTCAGGAACCACGGCTAATGTTTCGATGGTCCTTTATGGTACAGAGGGTGTGAGCGACGTCATCAACCTCGTGGATGGATGCCTGGAGGAAAGGCAATTTTTCACGCAAGGAAACACGGACAACTTTTTAATATGTCTACCGCAACCTTTGGGGTCCCTAGTTAAAGTAAAAATTGGACACGACAGTTCTGGAAATAATGCATCTTGGTTTCTTAGTGAAATTGCAGTTATAGATAGTCAGACAGGCGAAAAGTGGATCGTAAGCTGCTATAAATGGCTAGCTCTTGATAAGGATGATGGAAATACTACAGAGATGTTTTATGTTGAAAACGCAGACAGTGACATAGGTTTTAAAAGAAAATTTAATATTTTACAAAAAACAGGGATCGCCGACGATCACTTGTGGTGGTCTGTTGTTTGCAAGCAACCCAAGAGTTCCTTTACGCGTGCGCAGAGGGCATCTTGTTGTTGCTGTTTCCTTCTACTTTTCATGGTTACGTCAGCTATGTTTTACGGACTAGAAAATCCAGACCAACAAACCATCAGAATAGGACCATTTAGTGTTACTCCAAGCCAACTGATAATTTCAGTGCAAACAACTTTGATTACAGTGTTACCGAGCGTTCTTATTACAATACTTTTTCGTAAAAGTGATGCTAATCGGGGACCCAGAGGTAGAAAAGACCATTACATGAAGGACAAAACAAGAAAAGAGTGCAAACTGCCATACTTTTGCGTTTATATAGCCTGGTTTATATGTGTAGGAACTGCCATCGCTTCGGCTCTTGTGACTGTGTTCTATTCACTCACTTGGGGAGGAAAAAAGTCTGCCCGATGGCTGTCCTCCGTTGTCATGTCACTGACTGGGGATGTTCTTATTTCCCAGCCGATCAAGATAATTATGATATCTGTTGTTGCTGCTTCGCGATGTGGTCGGACCAAGGGTCTTCAGGCAACGACACACGACACTGATGATAAATCATTGTTTGAAGTGCCCCCAGGTCAAATACAACAAGCAAAGGAGTTTAAAGTGAAAGAGAAAAGGATGTTCAAATTTATAAAGGAGCTAGCTTTTCTTCTTTTGTTTGTTTTATTGTTGATGATTGTCTGTTACGGCGACAAAAATAACCATCGATTCAAGCTGACGGATAGCACGGCAAAGAGCGTCGATAAATTTGACCAGGTTTGTGTTAACAACAGCAACAACAAACTTTTAAACCAACTATAAAAAACAACAACAACAACAACAACAACAACAACAAGATAAAAAAAAGCAGTTGGTATTACGGATTTTTACTTAGACCGGTTTTTAACGAGAAATTCCTTTGCTTTACCAAGAAAACACGGACTGCTTTCCAATGTTAATTCTTGAGCAAGTCTTGCCAAAATTTCTAGTGCTCGCTAACCCGATGTTAAATTTTCCTGGACTCCTGTTGAAAACAACTTTTTTCTTAGTTGATTTTTAAGACTTACAATGTCCAGACATCAAAATGTGGTGCTTTGTAAGCGAAATTGAATTCAAACTTGCTAACCCCGGGTTTTCGTATCTCATTGAGGCCCAGCGGTGACCAGTATCAAATTTCTCCTCACAGACTTCGGAGCAAAATCAAGGATGGAAGTCATGAGATTTAAGGCAACCATCGACAAAAACCTATATAATTGATCTTTTGACATCATCTCCATAAAAAATACATAAATAAAGAATAATAAAAGCCAGTTAGAAGAACAAACGTGTTGACATTATGGCTCAAAAGGGCCATTAACTCTCCTTTGAGCAACGTACCCGACCGAGGACGCTTTTGCAGGCAAGAAAATCGAGAAAGGATACATTAAGACGACAAATACTCACACTTAACAAGAAATATACTCCATAAATCCCTCCGTCTACCTGGCAAAATAATATAAAACATCAGTAATAGTTTTAGCAACACAGCTTGGCGTTGCGTTCTTACTCTTAGCCAAAGGATTTCTGTTATCAATGACGTTTTATTTTCAGATTCGAAATGTTACCCATTTTTGGCGATGGATGAAGACCAGCTTTATACCTGCCATCTTCACAGGGGATTGGTATAATGATCAGGAAGAGGAAATTGAAGAATATATCGGTAATAAACGATCCATTCTGGTAGGAATGCCGCGGTTGAGGCAACTCCGCGTTGTAAAAGGTATTATTATATGGCGATTTGCCTGATATTTGTTCGCTGTTTGCGCTATACATGTTTTTCTTTTTTCCTCACATTTTCTTTAATCTTGTTGAATTACTTTTTTCTTATTATGGAAGCTATCGTTCATCGTGTTATGTGTGCGATTCTGCGCTTTTATTGCTTATCTCGCGATATTTCGACCGGGTATTGCTGGTCTTCAAAAAGCGATTGTCGCGTATTTTAAACCAGTTTCCTTTCTTTTTTTCTATTACACAGATTCGTGTGATGTCCCTGGTATGTTTAGAAACATTATTTCGTTTTGCCATGACTTCTACTCTCACAAAGAAGAAGACAAGGATGACTGGGGATCAATAACAGGATATTTCAACCGATCGTTTCTGTCATGCCCAGAGAACTGGGAGTACAGCACAGACGATGAAATCGGTAGCTTTGACACTTGGGGTTATTTCGCTACATACAATGGAGGGGGGTACATAGCCAATCTAGGATACAACGCGTTTACAGCCAAAAATGTTATCGACGATTTAATTGCAAATGACTGGATCGATCGCCAAACCAGAGCAGTAATAGTCGAGTTCTCATTGTACAACCCTTCGAGCAATCTCCTTGCGGTGTTGTCATATTACTACGAAGTTCTTCCTTCAGGATTCGCTGGAATTTTCAAGAGCCATGGAATAATACCTCTTAAGCCAACACATTCACATGCGCATAATGTCTACTTGTTTTTTGTACTTCTTTTTGGCGTGTTTCTCGTTTGCTGCTTCTTCAAAGAATGCGTTAGACTTTTCCGGCAAAGATGTTCCTATTTCACTTCTGTCTGGAGTTGGTTGGAGCTTCTTCAGATTCTATCCGCATCTTGTGCACTACTTCTTCAATGGGAAAAATTTAAAGAGCTGACAAGAACATTTGCGAAATTGAAGGAGAATCCTTTCGTGACAATAAGCTTTCACCAAGTGTTAATGCTGTCCGAAGCTGAGACTGCTGTGATCTGCATAACAACTGCCTTTGCAACCCTACGTCTTCTGAAATGCTTTTATTTTAATGCGCACGTCATAAGGTTTTCTTTGTTTATGAGACGCCGCTTCACGTCTATCGCGTCGTTCTTTGCAATATTCTGTGTCATGTTTACCGGGTTCGCTCTATTAGGAGTTATTGCATTAGGCTCTGAATATTCAACTTTCTCTTCTTTCACCACAGCTTTCGTGACTCAGTTTCTCATGATAATCGGAAGTACGTCTATGATAGATGAATTGGAGGAGGCGGGTCCATTCATTTTTGGCCGGTTGTTCAGTTTCAGTTTCATATTTACTACCGTGATAATCACTACAAATATGTTTGTTGCCGTCCTCAATTTTTCCTACTCGAATTGTTGCTCCGACGATCTGGAACTACAGGAAGAATTAGACATGTCAAATTTCATTGTAAACCAAATATTGAAAAAAGGTTTTCAGTTACACCATTAAAGAACAAAACGGAACATCAAAGAAAACTGTTTCTGGACTTATCAGAAACCGAAGAATCGGGTGAGACAGAGGATTTGTGGAGATCTAACTGGTCTTTCTCAGTTGCCAGATTTACCCCTATTATGCATCGAAGTCGAACAGTCCCGTTCCGTAGTCACGGAAATGTCGATGACGGGGAAACAATGGTGCATCGCGATATCAATAACGCGCAATCCTTGCTTTGGGAAACATGCAAAGCTGATGAAAACCCCGTCATTATGTCCCTCGAACTGTTTACACAGACGTTGACGAGGAGTCGATAACAGGACAAAACGAAACAAGCAGTACTGGAAACCCCGAAAAGGTCTCCATTGCCCTCTGGTGACGTTTGCTTGGCTCCTTTAAATGGAGACAAAGGCGACAGGCTGAAAACAGGATGTGTGTTCTTAGTTGACGACATCATTTGTGGAACTGATGGCTATGACGATGACTATGACGACATCGATGTCAAGAGTGCCAAAAATGATCCCTGGGAGGAGTTTTTGAAGCTACTGGACGAGGATTGCTTTGATGACTCTTCATCAGTTGTTCAGTTGGGTTGATCCAGTCCGGGGGGGAGGGGTACTCCCCTATAAAAGTGACGAGGGGCGCTCGTCCTACCTTCTAGGGGTTTAAATTTGTGGATTGGTACTGCTTAGGGTGCTAAAACCTAAAATAACTGCTGCCAGGGTTGTCTTTGTACCTTTTCGGGGCCTGCAGTAAGGTTATCGCCCGGGGTTATCAATCTGAAAAATGTATTTGTGCCAGTTATATAAATTTGTTGTTGATGAATAGGCCATTTGCATGATGGCATCATTTTACTAGCTGCTACCTCCTGAATCCTTCGCGTTTTTGCTTTCTTGTGCAAATTAGCGCTATTGTTATTTAAACCACGCTGGGATTACCAAATTTAAATGTGAAAGGAAAAACGAAAAGAATTCTGGTCGTAGTAGTAAAATGACGCCATCGTGCAAATGGCTAGCCTGCGGAAACATCCGTTCCTCCTTGCTCTTCGCCGCTGGGGACGTTTCGCAAGGAGGAAAGTCTGCGACTCAGCGACAGAAATTACACACTGATGACGCAAATCAATGTTTACATAATAAATCCGGTAGTCATGGGGTTCCAAATGTGAATATATTCAATTTTAGGTTTCTCCTGGTCGATTTTGGTAAAGTGTTGTGTTCATCTGCGAACGAGCTCCAGCAAAACTCAAATGCTTGTTCTAGAGAAGACTATATTCCACAAATATTGACTGTTTTGTTAAAGACTCATCGCCTTTACATTTGACCTTTGTACCTTTTTTTTCTTTGTCTGTCATTCGTAAACAAAAAGTAAAACAATGTATCTACTCCGTCGACCAATCAGGGCTTGACCGGATTCTGGACATATTTTTTATGTCATCAGCATGGAATTTCTGTCGCTGAGTCTCAGACGTTCCTCGCCTGAAACTTCCCTAGTGGCGAAGAGCGTGGAGAAACGGACGTTTTCGCAGGCTAGCAAATAGCCTATTGGTAACTCTTAGGAGTGAAAATGAATTTAGGACAAGAACATAAAGCAAATTTCTGGTACCATTTAGGTGTTCTAGAAATTTTCCGACAGTACTCCGTCACCCCAATCGATCGCTGATAAGTTTGAGCTATTCGAATGATATATTCGATTTTTTTTAAACGTTTGCTTTGCTCTTTCGTTTTGGAAATTGTTGTTTCTATTATGTCTTTGACAAAGCAGAAGACCAACCTTTGCTTTTATGATGAGTGATGAAGCCATATGAAAGGAATAGTAATTATAACGATCTAGGTAACACCTTTTATTTATTCAAAGGCGTTACCTAGTTCTTTTAATCAACTATCCTTGCAAAAAGGCGATGTACCTTCAGAGCAACCACAATGATCGATTTGAGAAATCACACAGTTTTCTAAAACTTCAAGAGATAACATCATGTAAATTAATGTTATTGCTACTTCAATTACGTCAACCTTTAAGCTTAGTGTTGAATACGACCGTTTGCTTAAAACGAAAAATTGTCAACAGAAAAGAAATGAAAAAAAAAACATTGAGCGACCCAGATACGTCTCACAAAATATTATCCTCGGGCATCAAAATTTAAGAAAATTGTCAGCCTTCAGCAAAACAACCTCTTAAAGCAGGTGCAAATCAATGAGCCGTTGATTTGACTCAGGTAACATTGGTCAGCGAATTCCCCCCGACATTTGTCAATTAATCTTATAACTAAGTTCTTGTGAGCTTAGCAATCCTTCCAAGACCATGAAGACGTCTCCCAACAACAGTGCACGATGAAGCGTCAACCATGTATTTTATAACGTAAATTTAAGAAAACTTTTGAATTTGTTATTAGATAGTAGGAAAAGAGGGAAGTTGTTGCCAATTGTCATCTGCGCGAACTGTGCAGCTGCTATCGCGTGTATCATTCTTAAGCACAGTTATTTCTTTAAAAAAAAATTTTCGGTGAATTAATAGTTTTCAGGCACCTCAATATGGATTTTACAATCTTTTTTGAATAAACTTTCTGTCAGTTTCAACACAAAAACATAAACAATGTGGGGTAAAAATATAGTCATGCAGACATTGGACACGTACTGCTTTGAGCGCGCGCTACAATAATAAAATTTTAAGTTAACTGCTTGAACTTTGGAAATCCTTGCGAGGTTTAAATAATAAAAGCGCTCATTTGCACAAGAAAAGTAAAACCCTGAAGGATTCTGGACGTAGTAATAAAACGACGTCTCGTGCAAATGACCTATTGTTGTTTCTATTACGTCTTTGACAGAGCAGATGACCAACCTTGCTTTTTATGATGTGAATGAGTTTATGCAAGGAACAGTAATTTTCAGATCTAGGTAACACCTTTATTTTCAAAGGCGTTGTTCAGTTCTTTAATTATTTATCCTTGCAAAAATCTCTACCTTCAGAGCAACGGCAGTAATCGATTTGAGAAATCACAATTTACTAAATTTTATTAAGAGATAACATCGTGTAAATTAATGTTATTGTTATCGTGGCTAGAATTGCACCCCTTCAATTACGTTCACCATTTAAGCTTAGTTCTCGTGTTGAATACTGAACGTTTACTTAAAACGAAAAATTTTCAAGTTATTGTCAAAAGAAAAGAAAGAAAAAATATTTTGAGCGACCTAAATACGTCTCAAAAAAATTCTCCCTGGCATCAAAATTTAAGAAAATTGTCAGCCTTCAGCGAACGACTTCAAAAAAGAGGTGGGAATCAATGAGCCAAGCGATTTAGTCAAGTAATCAGCGAATTCCCCACTTGGACAGTTGTCAATTAATGTTGAATTAAAACACATCTAGGGAAGGACGAACAAACGGACAGACTGACTTAACATCACGCGTCAAAATACGGCAGAGATAAGCAATACCGGGTTTTCTTCCCTATCTGGCTCAGCAAAGGCTCCGCCATCAAAATGACTCGGGGATATTTATTTCCGCCGACCTATGAGTCTAGACCTTTACGTATCTCTTCTTGAGCTCCGATCTCTCGAAAGAACAAATCTTATTCTCATCGGAAGTCTTACCAACAGTCCATTTTGATTCTTAAACAAATAAGCAAAAAATAGTTTTTACCCGAATAATCAAGGGTTTTTGTCTCATCTTTTAGTTCTTCAAACCGCACCAAACATTTCACTTTTGAAGGTGAAAAGTCTACACGCCAGTGCGTTTCGGTTTGAGATAAATAACGTCCTTTTTTGTGAACCTTTTTCAAAGGTCGTCACTTTTAATTAACTCCTTAGCTTATTATAATCTCCGTGTCACGCTTTCTGTTAGCTCGCTTTGGAGGAAGTTTACGGAACAAGAGCCCTCTTTAACTGGAAACGTTTTATAGCAATACGTAACTGA